AAAATACGATATTATACTCCTGAAGGATAGTGTATTCGAAGCTGAGTATGTCGGAAAAGTAAACGTAAAGCGAACTCAGAAGAAACAAGTGGCCATTTCTGGATGGCAGGCAACATGAAAGCCCGAAAAGATGTGGGAATGAATGCACCAGTTGCGGACAGAAGAGCCTAAGAAACAGACCCAATAATGACTCCCGTTCGGCCTTGAACCACAAAATAGCACTTCGGCCCAAAGAGAGCAAGTCTTTAGGTATGCCTAGTCACTGGGAGGTCAACATGATTTGCAAATTTACAATAGGAAGATATACTTAAAATACCGACGTATGACTGTACTGAAATTGTGAATCCACAGTAGCATACGGAGAGCCACAAGCGTAAGAAGCGACGTCCGAGAATGAGCAACAATCGACAGCTCCAAAGCTTCACACAAAAAGATACTCCACCCAAACAGGGCACCCTTCAAGTGCGCAGCCTTTACGTCTTTACCCGAAGGAATCACGACGACTCAGATGTTACTTAAGCCAAAATCGGAGCAATTAAGAAAGCGACTACAACAAAACTATGGATACCTCAGTGGGTCTCACAGGCAATAACCACTGAGATACACATAGCCAAACGCAATCTGGAGTTGCGAAAGAGTATTTGGTACAGTGGGTAAAGTAAATAATAGCATCACCTGCTGGTAGCATGACGTAAAATCTGGTGGTTTCCAAACGACTAACCTCGAGTAGAACCAATACGGTCTGGTAACGACGCGAATAGTCCGCGTACAACTTTAAACAGGGAGCAATTAGCAAAAACGCCTCATCGATGCCCATTGTGAGAATCGACTCCAACAGAGTTTCGCTCACGCTCAAGATTGGCTGTAGACGACCAAATATTTCCCCATGCATACTGCTCGGTAGCAATTCTCGCTCCGACATGGGCTCCGCAAAGTACTACGAAAAGGATCGTGAAGAAGCAGAGGTAAAAAGAACAAACCAGTAAGACTTTTCTCAAAAATCTGACATATTTTATCTCGGACACAATTAGCTCATCGAGCAGATGAGTCTTGGTACGTTTCAGCTGCTCCAGCTTGTCCCAAGCAACAGAATATGGAGTCGACATCCCGATTGTTTGAGGCATGCCAGAATCAAACGTCATGGACACAGAATTCGGCATCGTTCTAGATGACGGAAAAATATATCTTTTGTAGTTGGAAAAATACCAGAAAACAACTCAAATGCGGGGAGAGAGTGCTCACCGTTGACTAAGGAGCATTAGGTGCTCTTTAAACTCCGGAGTGAGACTGCCTGTTCGACTGCATGGTGTTTTGACATAAAGGATTGTCACTGAGGGAATCAGACAGTCATGATATTAAGCATTTAGGGATAAAAGGAACAAAGTTGTAAGCCCACCAACGTACAGTGACAAGAGTGAGATAGAGTATAAACTTTTATGCTGCAAACTAAAAGGCGAACAACAAGGTGTTAGAGAGCAGGTTCACGCCAACTAACGTGGATCACTCTTTGAAAGGCAACATGCATTGAGTGATTGACTACTACTTGAAGCAACCACAGCAGATTCTAACAACAACCACCAACAGTGCTTTCACCACGCAAACTTTCCGCAAAAACTGCGACAGGGAGAAAATTCCCCAAGTTCTAGTGGCGGATAGTTGGACGAACTTTTGGGCATTACGTTCTACGGTGAGATGAAATAATGACAAGACCAAATTGGATACTGGCACAAACACCTCTGTGAGCAATACTTGCTCAAACAGATCCGCAGAAAATTTTGCAAGGATTTTTAGAGAGGCAGTTAGTTCCGACCCTCTTGAAGATATTCACCACTTGAACCACTGCAGCAAGCTCTTACAACTCCCCAGTCAACCAGAATTTATGGACTCTGCTCCTGTTTGCTTATGCTTAAGCCTGTCTGAAAAGTAGAGACCGCATTGAGAAGACAACGACACAACCCATTTGGTCATGACGAAGAGAAGTTGTTCGTTGACACAGTTGGAATGCGATCGTTTCCGTCAGCGTGTTCAACCACCCAGACCATTCCAGAATGGTCGATAATCAACGAGCCCTTGTCAATAATTCGGCTATTCATCCTGGATCCGTGTTCTCTGGAAGGACACCAGAAAGCACGTACTGCATCCAAACCTGGGTTTACGCCGAAATAATTCGTTAACAAAACAGCTATGAAAGACGTTCACCATTATCGGTATAGATCTTTTCGACCTCATGACTCATTTGCATGAGCGATGAAACTGAATAAGCGGGAGAGTGTGGTGTCCTAGCTGTATTCTGGGATCCACAACCACTTACGTGGTGGCGAGTTAGAGTTCCAATTGACTGGTGTGAACTCTAAATGGACGATGATTGGTATTTCGGACAATGCCAAGTCATACGTTGTCTACCTAACGGGTTGCGCCATTCTGAAGGGGACACATATCGTACAGAATCGTTCAGCCGTAACACCCTTTCAGAGCCTAGCTGCAAGGCCACCCGAAGCACGACGGCTGGGATACTGTCAGGGGGCGAGATGGCTTAAGTGGTTAGAGCGCGAATTTACTGACCGGAAGGTCCGTGGTTCGAAAAAGACATCTCTATTTCGACCGCCCCTGTCTAGGCTTGGGCAGCCTGGCAGTAACCCAGCCCTCGAATTCAATGTTCCAGTGTGTTTATCACGATTAAAGTACCGAAATAACCGTTTTCTAACTGCCTCGTTACGAAAATGTTGACATCATCCGATAACAAAAACACTTCTGAAACGTCAGACGGCCAGAAAACTGGGGACGCCTCACATCATCTGCCCGTAAAGGCTACGCCACGCTACTACACAACAACAGAATTCTTAGCGCAGCCTGGTACATGCGGCCTTTAAGATCAAGTGTTATGCCTTTTTGACGCCACAAGTGACGCAAATTACCAAACGTGATCCTGGCTTTTTAAATTCATGTGCTGACTTCATCAGACATACTTCCGTCAGAGCTAATACAACTGTCAGGATGTGTAAAATTCTCCTCTTCTAGCGAAATACAATCGAGTGTAAACAAAGTTGGTTTTGCGAGAGAACTTTCAGCAACATTGTGAGTAGTGTATCCAGCGCCTCCCTTTGAATTGTAGGATTTCCCAGAGACTACACGTTTTCGGTTGTGCAACGGGTACTTCCACTGAAGAATGTGTCCTGCGCCAAAAGCTGCGGTGGTTGCGACATGTGTTGCGTATGCCGAACCATCGTTTGTCGAAGAGAATGCTGTTTCCCATGTCCAACTCAGAGTGGCGTAAACAGAGAGGTGACCAACCATTGACTTGGCGGAGGAGTATGAAGGAGATCACGAAACGCTTGGGTGCTGTCGGTGCTACTCGCCTTCCAGGATGGGGACCGCGTGATCCTCACTGTGCCTGGTCGGAGACACTACAAGATATGGCTGCCTACCGATGTCAGTGGCGTTCTTGCTGTCAGTTTCTATCCAGACCGCCTGAGTGGATGTCTGTAGGTATAGGCACCTCGGAATGATTGCGGTATGCTAGCACTAAGTCCCTCCCCCATTCACCTTTATTCTTTTCCTTACAATAAGGCTTTCCAATAAATCATGGTTGTACGGCAGTGAAGCATCGGTGTTGAACACTGATGTCAGGGTGCCGATGATGATGATGCTGATGCATCATTGTCTGACGTCCCCTGGCTCGTTTACACCCTTCGCGGAAGTCAGTTGACTGGCATACGTAGCGCGCGGCCAAGCCAGTGCAACCCACACAGTGAGATCACTTCATCTATCGAAGGTGATTTATCTCTACTGAATACTATTTGACGTATTCACAAGTTTTGGATGTTTGAAGGGTTAATACTGCTGGAAAACCTGTCCTAAAGTGAATAGCCTATGCATCTCCAGCCGAGGTGAAAACCAGCTAGATCCTCTCAGAGATAACCCAGATAAAACCGTCCAATAATCGATGTGTCGGTGCACGGAGTCACGGATTCACGGATTGATACACAGGATCGAGGCTTTTGCCCACGTTTCCCGGGTCGGTTTTGTTCTTGTCGGTCAGTGGCTGTCGTTC